AAAGATTTGATTCCCAAGTCTATGGCAGCCTTGAGACCAAAGATGCATGCTTCGTATTCTGCCATGTTGTTCGTACAGTTGAAGCAAAACATGGCCGTAAAAGGAGTATGGCATCCTTCTGAAGATATGAGCACAGCATCGATACCGTTACCAAGTGCATTGGATGCCCCATCAAAGTACAGGGTCCATCGGGATCCTTGTTCAGGTCCGTCATATGGTTTGATTCCTTCATAGTTGTCCACTGTCATGATGTCTTCGTCAGGGAACTCAAACTTCATGGACTGATAATCCTCTACAGCTTGGTGGGCCATATGATCAGCTAGCACACTGCCCTTTATAGCTTTTTGGGTAGTGTACTGTATATCATATTCTGTTAGGATCATCTGCCATCTAGATATCCTCCCAGACATAGCAGGTTTTTCGAAGATGTATTTTATCGGATCCATCTTAGATATCAGCAAAGTGGTATGAGTCAACATATATTGTCTTAGCCGGCGAGCAGCCCATACCAGAGCGCAACAAGTTTTCTCGAGCAGTGAATATCTGGTTTCATAGTCGGTAAACTTTTTGCTCAGGTAATAAATGGCGTGCTCTTTTTGGCCAGACTCGTCATGCTGCCCCAATACGCACCGCATTGAGTTCTCTAAAACGGTTAGATACATGATTAGTGGTCTTCCCTCGACTGGAGGCATCAAGACAGGAGGCTCTTGTAAATACTCTTTGATTTTGTCAAAGGCAATCTGACATTCATCATTCCATCTAACTACCTGATCTTTCTTCAACAGTTTGAAGATTGGTTCACAAGTAGATGTTAGGTGAGAAATGAACCTAGCAATATAGTTTAGGCGTCCCAAGAATCCTCAAACTTCCTTCTCAGTGTGAGGAGCAGGCATTTCTTGTATCGCTTTGACCTTGGCAGGATCAACCTCGATGCCTTTGTTGTTGACAATAAAACCTAAGAGCTTACCGGACCCGACTCCGAATGTGCACTTGTTCGGGTTCAACCTTAGTTTGTACTCCTTCAACCTGACAAACAGCTTTTGCAAGTGATCAAGGTGTTCTTCTTCAGTTTGTGATCGGGCTATCATTTCATCTACGTAGACCTCTATCTCATGATGTATCATATCATGAAACAAAGCTACCATGGCGCGTTGATAGGTTGCCCCGGTATTCTTCAGTCTGAATGGCATCACTTTATAGAATAAAGTACCCCACTGTGTGAAAAATGTAGTTTTCTCCATGTCCTCAAGTGCCATTTTGATCTGGTTATAGCCTGAGAATCCGTCCATGAAAGAAAATACTCTGTGTTGGGCTGTATTGTCAACCAGGATGTCGATGTGTGGAAGTGGAAAATCATCTTTAGGGCTGGCCCTGTTTAAATCTCTATAATCCACACACATTCTCACTTTGCCGTCCTTTTTAGGCACATGAACAATGTTGGACACCCATTGAGGATAAGAAGTAACAACCAGAAATCCAGCATTGAACTGTTTCATAACTTCTGCTTTGATCTTCTCTGACATGTCAGGTCTCATGTGGTGGACTTTTTGCTTCACCAGTGGACAGTCTTCTCTTGTGGGTAGACAGTGTACCACGATGTCTGTATCGAGTTCCGACATGTCTTCGTATGACCAGGCAAAGATCTCAACATAATCATTCAACATATGAATTAGGCGCTCCTTGACACTCGACTATAGATTGGAACCTATTCTGATTTCCTTTTTATCTTCCTCGGTTCCAAATTGATTGTATCCAACAGCTCCTCATGAGGCTGAATAGCTCTTTCCTCTTGTTGTAGTAGTCTGGCTAATTCCCCTGGCACCTCATAATCTTCCTCACCTTCGTATTCGGCTTGGTAGATCAGATCTTCAGAGTCACTAAAGGCTATAGCAGTATCGTTACCCATGGGATCCGGAGTGGAAGGGTACCTGCATTTGTGAGTGTGGGTGTGTGTAAGGGTATAGCCATCTTAAAACAATAAAATGTAAAAGAAAGACAATGAGCACAAAAGGTTTATATATGAAAAAGCGTCCATGATTCATTGAATGTCATATGAAGATGAAATAAAAACCCTTACAAATGGACCAATGTGCCTCGGGTAAGACACACGGTTTTTAAAGTGCGAATTGTTCGTGAATATTACAAGTCCAACAGAAATGTAAAAGATAAATTACTGAGATATGAAAGTTATCGGGACAAAGTCTTTGGCTTCCCAGTTGCGAAGTCCTCCGCTGACAGTAGGAAATATCCAATCTTCCAAGCTGACATCTTCTTCACTGTCCTCTACTTTATTGACCCCTTGGTTGCTGATCTTCACAGGTGGCCCTCCGGCACGGGCGCGGCGCACAGCCTTCTGAGAAGTCAAAGTAAACCCCAAGCCAAACTTGTCTGATTTGTATGGAATGTCTGGAAGTTGCCCCCAGATGGTCCATCCCCCCTCTTCCACTACTTCCTTTGCATCCTTTAGAGATGACATCCGAGGTGAAGGTCTTGTGATCATAGGAATCGAGGATACCGCCTTGGTCACCGCTACTTCTAGAGAGACTTCTTCAAAATGTTGGAAAGGGGTTTCAATGAACTCGCCATCCAATTCCACATATCGGAAAGAATTCAGATGACTAATCATGTACTCCTCTTCCCCGTGGACAGTTATGATCTTTCCTTGGACAGGGTACTTCAGCATCTGATGCAAAGTGGAGGTGACAGCACCGGCGTTATGGATCCAAGGGCGTCCTAACAGTCAGGAATAAGAAGGACGGATGTCCATCACATAGAAGGTTGAATTGAAAAACTAAGTTCCCACCTTTATTGGGATGTTCACCTCCCCGTGGACCATCCTCTTCGAGCCATCAAATACTCTCACCACTATGTTGCTGGGTTTTAAAGTCAGCCCCCCGCAGTCCAATCTATCAAGGGCTTTATTCGGTAAGACGTTTAAAGATGACCCAGTATCAACCAAGACATGGGATAGGGTTGTTCCTCTACACTCCACGGAGACATGTAATTCCTCATTGTGTTTTCTCCCTCTGGGTGTCAAGTCAGCATCAGAGAAACCCAGGCCATTATCAGCTGTCAAACTGGCCACACAGTCTTGGAACTGGTCAGCAGACGTCTCTTGTGGCACATGAGATGTCCTTAGAAATTTTACCAGAGCTTTGGCATGTGCTTCAGAGCACAGCAGCCGGGCTAGCATAGATATCTTGGAAGGGGTTTTCCCTAATTGTTCAACCACATCATAATCACTCTTTTTTATTATCCTCAGGATTTATTCCATCTCCTTCTTGGATGTTTCAGGAATAGCTAGTGATTGAGCCTTCATCAGGATAGGATCCTCTTGAATGGTCTTTCCTTTATTCTCAATAGTGGAAGTAGGGATAGGAATTGTGTTGTCTTTGTTGGTAAGTACACTTACAGGTATAATCACTGGTGCAGAGGTAATCTTCGGAACGGCCACGGGTCCAAAGACTACCTTTGGAGGGGCAATCTCTGGAGAGAAGATTATACCACTACGGGTAATCTTGCTTGTTCCAGCAATGTTACTGATGTCGGAATTGTCCTCTTCGGAGCTCTCTTCTTCGGCAGTCAGTTCATCCTGTTTGATACCATGGTGTAGCGGTGAAAATCGGAGATCAAGCTATTAATTAACTTGACTCGCAAAAGCAAGAGTCGCCACCGCGCTTTATTATTTCCAAGGGAAAAGGGAAAAGAGCGAAATAAAACCCTAAAATATGCAATATAAAATAATACTTAAAAGTAATAAAAATACAATGCGTTTTTGAAAGAGATCGAGAGTTCGGGGGTTGGTTATACAATGGGAAGGTATTAGCACCCAATGTATCTGCGGTACTCCGCAGGAACCTTTTGAAATATCTGTTTTTTGGTTTAAAATTGTTTGTTTGATTAAAATGATTCGTTTGGCTAAAAGATGGGTATGGACGAGATTTTTGAAGAGACAACAACCTAATGTCGAAGTTTTGACTTAAAAGGTGTGAGTTTAAAATTGAATCTTTTGGGAAAATTATCTTAGGTTTAGCAAAATAGTAAACAAACAAAAAAAAGAAAAAAAAAGGGTATTCGCACGATCGGATGAGATGTATTTGATGACATGAAGTCAACAAAGTTAAAATATTTCCCTTGGAATAAGCAAAATAAAATGAACATCAAAATATAAACATTCAGAAGTTCACAAGAAAATAAATCTGACAAAAATAAATTAATGATCAAGAGGCACCGAGAAATTGAAATGACAGACATATACAAATAAAAGGAATATAACTAATTATCTAAGGAAGTTATTCGAACTAAATTAAAAAATTACTTACTAAAATAATTCTAAACTAATTACAAATTCTAAGGTTATAAAAAAAAATCTAGTATTATGGAATTTGATCTAAACTAAACTAAAGTTTTAAAATTTAGTAAGTTAAATCTAGATTAAATTAAAATCCTAAGGTTACTAAATTAAATCCAAAATAAATGAAAATTTCAAAGTTACTAAACTAAATCTAAATAAAATTCTAAAACTATTAAACTAAATTCAAATCAAATAAAAACTCTAAAGTTATTAAACTAAATAAAAATTATAAACTTATTAAACTAATTCTAAATCAAATAAAAATTATAAAGTCATTAAACTAAAACTAAACAAATAAAATTCTAAAGTTAACTTAAATAAAATCAAATAAAATTCTAAAGTTATAAAATAAATCTAAACTAATTAAAGAATTCTAAATTAACATTAAACTAAATTAATTATAAAATTTACTAATATATTTTTTTATTTTTTATAACTAATTAAAAAGAATTTAATTGCATTAACCTAAATATCTAAAAGTATAAAGAAATAGAAAGGGTGTGTATAAGCATGTCATTGGCCCTTTAGGCCCAAACTCAACATAAAGACACTAACCTTATCCAATAGTACCGGTTACCATAAAAACGCATAAGAAGCTATAAGCATGTATCCAAAGTAAAATATTGCAGACACCAACTTTGTGATTTCAAGCTTGGTGAAGAAGTAGAATGTTGCATAAAGAAAGAGGTATAGTGCAGATGAACCAAATGCCACAGACTGACTCTGAGTTGAAATGACTCTGAGTTGAAGTTGCAAACCCACCGGTAGCATTAGGTGCCAAAGTACCAATGGTAGACCCACTTATAGTGCCAAAGACAAAACCCTGTGTCTGGGACTGGCTATTTGCAGATGTTGCCAATGAACTTAGCCCAAAAATGCCATTCCCGGCATTTCCAACAGCAGCAGAAGAGCTTCCAAAGGAAGTGTTTTCAATTTTACCGATTCCAGCATTCTGTCCGATCTTGGTTTCCATGGGTTCTGAGTGAGAAGATGAAACAGGCAGGGGTACTGATGAGGAGGTTAAGGGAAGACGGATAGCGCTGGAGAGAAGAGAGATTGGATGGTGAAACTCTTGAATCTGGCTCCACTGTTTGCATTCGAGTATTCTGACTATCATCTCTCAGTTCTCTCTCTTGTCGTAGAGGGAATGAGGTAAGGTTAGATGATGTTGATCGGCGAAGAACTCTGTCACGAAGCCTTCCAACACTTAAAGTTCGACTAAAACGAACATTATGTTCAAGTGGTTCTCGAACTCTATTTCGTCGATCTATATGCCTAGTCTCAATAGTATCCATCTCTGCTTGAATTCTCGAAGAAAACAAGTTCACATCCAACTCGTCACTCGCACCAATGCCACAACTAGGATTTCTCTGCATGTTGCAACAAGGCAAACCTGATCCTGATGCATCATCCTCATTGTCAAATATTGAGAAACTTGGAGACGAAACCGGACAAGGCCTTGATGACCTTGAACTAGTAAATCTCCTAAGTCGAGAGAGGAATCGACTTGTTGGATTCAACGAATAAGTTGCAGAAGCGTGCACAGAGCTGGTGCGACTTCCAGATGAAGTGTCGCGGATCCTTGTTTCACTCCACTCACCAAGATTGATGTTAGGCATACAAGTATTCTCACTGTCACCAGTTTTAACCTTTCTTAGAGATTTCGATTTCACCGCATCTGAGTCTGATAGATTGCCATCAGTATATGTAACAACACTGCCATCTACTTTATTACTATCACAGATCTGGTCTTCATCATCACTGTCTTGAGATCCAGAACTAGTTCCAAGGCAATAAGAATGAAACCCTCTGAGAGCCTTAGAGCGACTCCTCTTCCTGAAATTTCTTGAAGCAGAAGAAGAAGTTGTAGAGGAAGTGGCTTTGCTACTGTTGGATCCCATGAAGATGACCCAGAATAAGGAACACTCTTCAAACACACTAAGAAACGAAACCCATTAATCAAAATGGTTTTTATTTATTTATTTTTAGATTCTCGAAGATGGGTCAGATCTATAATGAAGCAAAACTACACTACCACTATCACTGCATTGGTAAGTACTAGCAATGTGTTGCATTGTTTTTGTGTATAGTTAATACAGTATTGGTGATTAGAGGAAGATTGAAGTGAAGGAAAGTTGGGAGAAGGTGTCATGAAAAATGGAGGTTGTTATTGGTTACTGAGAGAATGCATGAACATGTGGAGGTGTTGATTTATGGAAAAGCAGGTTGTTTCATGGTATGGTCATAAAGTTGTTGTTGTTGTATGAGTGGAGTTTAGGAAATGGTTGTGAGGTATATACACATAGAGCAAGATGAGAAGATGTATGTAGTTACTGTGATGTAAGGCTGAAGTGGTGACAGTATTGATCCTCAATTTCATCCAATAGCCAATGAAAATCAAGCATAGTATATTAAACTTTTTTTTGTGACTAAAAGGCCCTTTAATGACAAAAATAAAAATAAAACTTGAAAGTATATAAAAAACTCAATTTAAAATGATTTTTTTTGAATATTTTATGAATAAAAATAAAGACCCAAAAATGACCGAAAATGATAAAAAACGGACGAAAATTTATCCGAAAAAAATAAAATGAACACATTAAAATAGTCTACATGTCACAAAGATTAAAGAAAAAATATTCAAGAAGTCAAAAATCAAAAATAAAATAATAATAAAAATATCAGACTAAACAGACGTTTAAGGTTAAAAACGAGACTTTGAACTGTACCGAAAAAATAAAGCGAGCATACCGTCATAATCTACGCGAAACGCAGATTCATAAGATGATCGATAAAAGGTGAAAACTTGAAATATTTTCTCGCTAATTTTCTGCACAGTGTCGAACCATTTTTAACAGTTTGTCTATAAAACCGAAATATTTTTATTATCGACATATAAACAACTTGGATCAATGCAACAAATGAGTAAAGAGATCAAAATGAATGAAGTGAAATGTCGGGTATTTTACAACTGAAAGACGATGCAAACTTTGATTTAAACTGACTTTTCTGGTCAACTTAAATACGACTAATGATGCAAAATGTGATGAATGAAGATATTTACTAATGATCGTGACCAAATAACAAAGTATGATATGAAAGTGCGACTAAAACATATTAGGGGCGAAATTAAGGGTGCAACGGTTGTGCCTTGATGAATCAGTCTTCGAGAATCCGCAATCAACCATACTTCGGGCTTGGGGGACTCAAAACCTTAATTGAGGCGCGACACCTGATGCTCTTGATTCAGACCTGTCTCTGCACCTGACACAAAAGAAAACATGAACATACACCTTTGTATGCGATTAGAAATTAGTGATACATATGCTAAAAATGTTCAAAACACTTGACAATCTTCGCATAGTCAAAGCTCGAAGGTGAGACGTTAAAACCGACTGTATTTAGTGACCTTGACTTATCTTAAAAAATGCAAAAATAAAAATGGGATCTTAGGTCAAAAATTGGGGTACAACACATGGTAGTAGATTTCTCCACCATAATTCCATGGAACTGTTTTATCTGACTGGTACGGGACCGGCCCGGGCATTGTAATCTTAAGTGGAGTAGTCTTTGGAGCAGATGTAATCCTAACGGGTCTTTTCGGGACCCTGGAAGGATTGGCGTAGATGGTTATGATAACAACTTATTTAACTAGAACAGGTGAAACAAGAGTTTTCTCAAACAAAATTTCTTGGTTATCAATCAGTTGTTGGATACCTTTTTTCATTAGAGGGCAGTCAAATGATGAGGATAGGAAAACATGGCAGTCTTTGTCACAACCTGGGAATATACCAGCTTTCAACAAATTCAACTTGATGATCGGGAGCAGAGTTAACAGTTCATCCACAGTGGCAACAAATAAATCTTCCTCAACAACATTGGTATTGTGACCATTCCTAGGCATCGGAGCGGATATGACATTAGGTTTCTCAAGCGCTTCAAAGTCAACTTCCTTCGCGTCTATTAGGTCTTGAATTTTGTTCTTCAGAGGCCAACAGTTGTTGGTGTCGTGCCCTGGACTTTCAGAATGGTACGCGCATCTGGCGTTCAGATGGTAATATGGAGATGCAGTATTGGGATTCTTTGGGGCCTCTTTTAAAGTGGCCAGATTCAACTTCAGAAGATTTGGTAGAACTTGGGCTGGAGTCATGTTAATCTTGGTGAATTGCCGAACTGGCCTTTCCATCCTTGATTTCTGTGTGAATAAACAACAAACACTTCCTTCTTCCTAGTGAAGGGCTTTTTTACAGCTATTGAGGCAGACGCGTCTATCTGAATTTTCCGACTTCTTATACCAGCCTCTACTCTTTCGCCAGTTAAAATCAACTCAGTAAACCCTATAGAGGAGCTCCCAATCAGATGATTAAAGAAAGGGCCTGATAGAGTTCCCAGGAACATGTCCACTAACTCTCTTTCAGACAAAGGGGGTTGCACCCTTCAGGCTAGATCGCTACACTTTTGCGCGTAGTCTTTGAATCCCTCATTTGAAACCATAGCCATACTCTGAAGTTGAGTACGGGTAGGCACCAAATCGGCGTTGTACTAATACTGTTTATAGAAAGCTGCTGCCAGGTCTTCCCAATTGTGGACATCGGCCCTTTCCAACTGGTAGAACCAATCAAGTTGCATTCCTAATAAACTGTCTTGGAAAAAGTGGACCCATAAGTCTTTGTCAGCAGAGTGCGGCTGAATCTTCCTGATATATGATCGGAGGTGCATTTTGTAAGTCTCAGAGTGCCTAAGAGGGGGGGGGGGGGGTGAATTAGGTCTTATAAAAATTTACTCGATTTTATGAGAATGCTTGGTAGTAATTTTTGGTTAAGTATTTGAAGGTTTTTATTATATCTTTATCTTTTCCTGATTATGGTGATGAAAGCGATAAATACGGAAAAGTAAAGAACACGGTGATATATCCTGGTTCCCCTCACAATCCGAGAATACTCCAGTCCCCTTTCCAACACAAAAGAGATTTCACTATAGTTAGAATGATTGTACAACCTATGCTTACTATCTAACCTATAGGGTGATCAAAGGTTCTTAACACCTTTAAGACCAAACAAACACTAATGTGAATGAAGAACAATCATCTTCAAATCACAACACTTACTTCCAACAATCCTGGATAGTAAGGGAAAATCTTTAAGTAATACAATGACTAATTTTGAAGTATATGGAGAGCTTTATCAATCTTCAATTGATCTTCTTCTTCAAGATAAAAACAATTCTCAACAATGTATATAAATGTTCACAATGTATGAATGAAACTTGTAATGATAATGAAAGTGTATATGGCAAGTTTCACAAAATTATGAACACATGAAAGTTTAAATTCAAATGTGAGTAAAAGAGAAAATTGTTAATGAAGAAGTATATTTGTTAATTTGAAAATTGAAGTATTGAACATTGAACATATATGAAAATGTTATTGTGTTCTTGTTTTGAAAATCTGAAAAATTATGCATTTTATAAAGTTGTAAGAACCTCTTCATTCATGCCAATTCATATGAAAAGTTGCAATGCATTCATGAAAAGATACCACTTGAAAAATGTTCAAAAAACAAAGTAAAAGCTGCATTGGTTCGCTAGGAACCGGTTCCGACACTGACAGAACCCGGTTCTTAGTGAACGTTATAAGTTGGAATTTAAATTTTTCACGCAGGAACCGGTTCCCCTATTGGTACAACCCGGTTCCTGGTACAAAAACCAGGGACATGTTTTTTGAGAAAAGCTGGAACCCGGTTCCCTGTTAGGGAGGAACCGGTTCCTAAAGGTTTATTTTCAAAAATACGTTTTGAAAGATATTTCAAACAAAGTTTTTCTTGATGTTAAAGTTATGGAATATGTATATGTTGATGAATGCATATTGTGAACATCTATATTCAAGGTTTTAAGAATTATTTATACCATATTGACATTTGATGATTTCTTTAATAATTCTTCAATAATCTTCAAGACTTTAATTTGATGTTGATAAGCTTTTTGCACATCCTTTGAAACTTGATGTCCATGTTGTCTTCATCAAAACACATGCTTTAAATATGACTTGAGAAGCTTGCAATTACATTCTCCCCCTTTTTGATGATGACAACCAAGTCTTGAAAACGATTTCTTGAAATGTTCATGTTGTTTTGTGTAGCGAACATGTTGAGAAAATGCAAGGCTCCCCCTAAATTGTATGCTCCCCCTAAGTCCATGATTCCTTGAATTTTGGAGTGAGTTTAATAGTTATTTGGGCCTGCAATTTCTTTGAAACAAAACAACATACATGCATACTCTTCTCCCCCTTTGTTAACATCAAAAAGGATGGGGAAAAGGAGTGAAATAGATACATATAAAAATTAAGACGAGTATAAAACACAACCATACATTTAAAGTACGAACAAAACACATTGTATGATTTCAAACATACTAAAATACGAACAACGAGTTGTACGATTACATAACAATAAAACAACAATTGTCTAAACATCACGAAGCATAAAAATAGAACATTGTCTAAACGTTACAAAGAAAAATACATTTTAAAAAAAAATAAATGACATAAAATTTTTTTTGTCTTTTAATCATCATCTTCATTCATCTCATTATCATCTTCATCACTTCCACTACCACTTCCAGATACCTCTTCCTCTAGAACTCCTTTTCTGTCAAAGTGATCAAGAATAACCTTTTGAGTTCTTTGGACATTTCGGAGTTGTCGCCGTGCTGATGCATTTTCTTGTTGGAGCACATCGAAGCGATCATCCACATGTCTCTGGAAGATTGTCATCTGATTGAACAGCATGTCTAAGGTGTATCCGCCTTCGGGAGGTTGGGCCACATATTGGACAGTTGGTTCGAAGTCTTCTTTATAGTGAAAGTGACCTCTTGCATCTAGAATGATCCCTGTATTTTTAAGTGC